TTCCAACCACCACCTAACAGTTTCTTGGTTTTGCTTTTTATTTATTTAAGTCCAGGTTCTGTGACTTTGTAGTTGCGCGATCCCAGGGCGAGTCAACGCACCTCGCTGAGCCTCAGTTTCCCCTTCTGTCAAAAGAGACCCTAACACCTCTGTTTGATGGGTTAATGTAAAATAACACGTACGCTGCCTGATACAGGGGAGATGGTGAAAATCCGGCTTTATCAACGTTTTTATTAATGATGATCACTGCTTGAATTTCGGAACAGAGCAAAGCACCTGCCAACCACACATCACCACACCGGCCAGAACACATCATGCAACAGGGCTGCTATTGCTTCTTCTGCCTAGATATGCTGTGTAACTCTGTATAGGTCACCTCTGCCCTCTGGGTCTCAGTTTCCCCATCTTTAAAATCAAAGGATTTATGTCCAGGTGTTGATGGTTCATTCTTATAATGCTAGCTAACTCAAGAAGCCAAGATATGGAGGACTGAGGCTCAAGACTAGCCAGGGTACAAAAGTTCACTAAATTCCATCTCCAAAATAATCAGCAAAAAAGCAGGGCTGGAAGCATGGCACAGGTGGTAGAGCACCAGCCTAGCAAACTTGAGACCCTGAGATCAAACTTCAGCTCATATATAAAATCAGGAGATTAGCTGGTTCCCTCCCAGCTCTGATGAGCTACACAGCTAAGCACCATAAGCCAGCCTTGTATTCATAAGGCAATGAAACCAACGTGTAGCTTGGGGCACAAATGAATGGGAGGCTGGCTAATGGGCTAACCCTTAACCAGCCCCATGTCTGACATCATTGTCTGGAAGGCAGCATCCTTCAGCCTTGTTTGCTGAGCACCTAACTGTGGACAAGCACCTGAGCTAGGCTGGAGGGGTTCTGCAAGAGGACAAGTTAGACCCCAAGCCCACAAAATCCTAGTGGAGGAAATGCATACTAAATCCAGAGATCAAAGCAGATCGCAAAGCTGGGTGCCTGTCATCCTAGCTACTCAGGAGCATCTGAGGATCACAGTTCAAAGCCTGCTGGGGCAGGAAAGCCTGTGAGACTTTTATCTCCAGTTAACCACAAAAAGCTGGAAGTGGAGCTGTGGCTCACTGGCAGACTGCTAGCCTTGAGCACAAAAAACGGGGACAGTGCCCAAGCCCAGAGTTCAAGCCCCAGGAACGGAAAACAAAGACAAAAACAACAACCAAACAACAACAACAACAAAAACTAACTAAAAAACAGGTAGCAAAGAGTTGCAGGTTCATGGGCTGGGAAGGTGGCTCAGTGGTAGAGTGCTTGCCTTGCATGCATGAGGCCCTGGGTTCTATTCCTCAGCACCACATAAGCAAAAAAAAAGAATAAAGCCGGAAGTGGTGCTGTGGCTCAAGTGGTAGAGCACTAGCCTTGAGCTGAAGAGCTGAGGGACAGCGCCCAGGCCCAGAGTTCAGGCACCACGACCCGACCCCCCCCCAAAAAAAAAGAGTTGTAGGTTCCATAGGACAATTATGGAGCTTCGATTTAGACTAGAACACAGACAGGGGACATCTAGCTGAGATCTGAAGGGACAGAAGGTAAGTTATGGAGAGCTGCGAGGCTGGCAGCAGCAAATGCAAAGGCCCTGAGTAAGGAGAGAGAGCAGTGTGGTTTTATTTTTTTCCCTTGCATTGCTGGCGATTGAACTCAAGGCCTGGTGTGGGCCTCATAAAGCCAGGAAGTAGCAAACTGTTAGGTCAAAGAGAGGAGAGGCGGGAGCAGCCAGAGCTTGGAGAGCAAAGAGGGCCAAGGCGGAGAGCTGTTGAGGTTAGCAGGAGTTGGGTTTTTGTTGTAAGCAGGGAAGTTACCAGCCCTTGTGAGCAGAAGTTAATAAAAATCAATTCACAGTTTATGGAGCTGCCAGCCAGGATCTCAGAGAGTCAGCGAAGACACACTGCTTCCTGGGTCCCAGCCCAGCCTTGGCCTCTTTCCAGCTTTGCTGCCACTAGCCCTATGCTTTGCTTTAACAGCCTGGAGCAGGAAGTGGGGTGGGGGATCCCCAAAAAATCACAATCCTTTCCAACAGAGTTCATTCCCTCCTGGCATCCACCAAGGGGTCGCAGATGGAAAGACAGGAAGTCCTCCAACCCCACAGTGAGGAGGAGATCCACAAGTTACTTCCCTCCCGGTGGCACCAGCTCCCCAGGGAGACCTTGTCCAGCTGTGGCCACGCCCACAAGCCACCAGGCCCAATGCCAAGGAAAGGAATCTCAGCCGCTGCTAAGCCCCGTGAGTGGCTGTGACTATGGTAACGGTCATCTGAGGAGAAGGGCTCCCCCCTCTCCCCCCCCCACTACACCTGGCCTCAGGTTTCTGCCCCAGGGAAAATTCCAGAAGAACCTCATTGAAGGTGGGTCCTAAGCAGGGTAGGGCCTCCATTCTGACACTGTGGCCGGCTCTTTGTGGGGCCTTGGGTATACAAACAAACCCAGCTTCCTTATACCCCATCTCCCCCATCTCCGTGGCTCCTGGGGAAGGTGCCAAGGGTGTGGGGTGACTTCATGGCGAGAAGTATTCACTCAGCCCTGTGTGTGTGTGTGTGTGTGTGTGTGTGTGTGCCTGTCCTGGGCTTGAACTGGACACTGTCCCTGAGCTACTGTATTCAAGGCTGGCACTCTACCACTTGGGCCACAGCTTCATGTGAAGTTTTTTTTAATGTTTAATTGGATGTAACGTTTGACTGGGCTGGGCACCAGTGGCTCATGCCTATAATCCTAGTTACTCAGGAGACTGAGATATGAGGATGGCAGTTCGAAGCTAGCCTCGGCAGGAAAATCCATGAGAGTCTTATTTCCAATAAACTACTCAGAAAAAGCCAGAAGTGAAACTGTGGCTCAAGTGGTAGGATGCTGACCTTGAGCTGACATGTTGAGGGACAGCTCCCAGGCCCAGATTTCAGGCTCTATGGCCGACAAAAAATACAAAACAAAACAAAACAGAGTCTCATGGACTTTCCTGCCCAGGCTGGCTTTGAACCGTGATCCTCAGATCTCAGCCTCCTGGGTAGCTAGGATGACAGGCATGAGCCACCGGTGCCTGGCTCAGCTTGCCTTTGCCTTTGAGTGTGTGTGTGGGGTGGGTGGGGTGGGGTGAGTTAATTGGAGATATGAGTTTCAGGGCCT